ACTAAAGTCAGTTTAGACTGGAATTTTAACCTTTATAATTAAATGCACTCCAATAGGATTATTTTTAAAGCAATAGTAGCAACCAGGAGTGAGAATATTTTTGTTTTTTCCCATTTTCCTTCTGGCACAAGCAAGTGTTGGTGAAAAACAGATGATAAAATGATGCWGTGATTTGTATTTACATATAACATGGGTACAAAAGACTGTCACTGTTTGTGAAAAGAATCAAACAAAGCCCAAATTAATAAATTGAATTCAAATTTGATCAACCAAAGATAGACTTAATATTTTAATAAATTAAAGACAAAAAAGGGTTCTAACACCTGTGTACTGCTGAAACACATTTTGGTGCGTTTGTGCTCACCTTCTTGTAAGAGGGATTTTGTTGGCCCAGTTGTTGAAAGATCCAGAGATGTAGACCTCTTTTCCATCACCAGTCCACCGAAAGACTGTTGGTCGATCTAAAGTCGGTCCTTTGTCTTCCGCATCTAAGTCCTGCTGCCATGCAAGAAACTCCTCTTTCTCTAAAGGAGCCTAAAATACACAAGAACCCTGATGAGACATTTATTTTTTTCTCTTTTATTTTTGTTAAATGTTTGGTTCCAGAAATTTAATCTGTATTTAAAATAATCTAACAAGATATGTGCCACTGAAATAGATTTATTACATGCCTTCATGTCTTCTCCATGAAAAATATCTGCATCCTCGGGGCTATCCATCAAAATTTTGGGCCTTTCTCCCTCTTTGATTCCCCGGCTGTCTCTCCTCTGAGCCTTCTCCCCATGGCCCATTGCAGCCCTCTCACTGCTTGTATTCCCCATGGCTTTGTCGTCTTGAAGGCTGTTTCAAGGTCACTGCAAGTGGAAGTAAGACAAGTTATTTCAACAGCAAACTAAAAAAAAAAACACTTTTTTGCTTTATTTAAGCTATTAATCATTGATATCAGCTGCAGAAAACTGATAAGACCATTATGTTTAGGAGCAGAATTTGTGTGAAAAAAATCTTAATTGTGCGACTTTCGTTTTAAGAGTTTAACTACTGTGTTTTATTAAGGTTTAACATGATCCTCAAAAGAAAAACATTTCTCTCAGCGTGATATCTTATCTCTACAGAAGACCAAGGGTATGAGTGTGCTTTTTACTGCTYAACACAAGTTAGAACTATCACTGCTGAGCAGTTGTGAAAGGTAATGAGTAACACTATATGAGTTTCTGTAAAGAATAACTCACATCTTAACAAATGTAGCATTMTATATTTTACAACAGCATACAAATAAATGCCCAAATACTCACAAACCTTGTTCAAAATACCARACTGAGCATATTGTGCTAATTCTCATAACAGCAAAGCTTGGTCATTGGGTGCCATTTGACCAACACTTAACTTTACAAGAATGGATTACCCATTGTGTTTATAAGTGAAAGGGCAAAACAGGACTTGCACGAAGCTGGTTGTGAATGAGAGAAAAACTCACACAATGTAAAAAATAAAAATAAAAATAAAAAAAAATGCATCAGTAATGATTCAGCAGCTTGAATCTCTATAACCTTACATGTGACAACGGGAATGGATTAAGAAATAAAAGCAGTGAAAGTTTATAAATATTATGTAAAATATTGCTGGTCTTTGCAGTGAGTTTATGAATAAGTTGTACCTTAATTTCCACTCTAAATTATTAGATAAACGGCGTTCGGCCATAAATAACATGCCAGATAAAGGTTAGCTAGTGCCACAGTTAAACATTGTTGATTTATACAATACAAGTTAAAAAAGTGCGCAGGGCAACCTTAGTGAGACACCGTTAGCCGCGTCATAAACCTGCACATAATCCCAAATGCAGGCTAACCAGCTACTTGCGTTAGCGCTAGCTTGGTTGGATGTGTCATAAACTCTGCTGGCTCTTACACACGAGTGATGGCAAATAACGGATAAGAGCAGCAACGATGACTGTTACCTCAGACACGTTTATTATCTCCTCCACCGGTTTCATCAACTCCATTTTAATATTTGAGCCATAAACATTACACTGGGCAGCAGCCAAATTCATCCGCCCCCTTTGTCTGCGCATGCGCACAGTATCAAACAAACAAAAACATTATAATTGAGTAATTTCATGACATTTTATAACGTATCTGCATTACTTATCACGAAACAAGTGTCTCCTATGTTTTATTTTTATACATATATTTTTTATTTTGTTAAAGTGTTTTACTGCCTACTTTGTAATCTCTGTAACATGAGGTGTATTTTTACTTACTAACCACTAGATGGCAGTGCAGATCAGGTGCATTACATTCTTTTATTTTAAATATATACTGTCT